TTGGTTTTTTCGAGACAGGGTTTCTCTGTGTAGCTTTGCGCCTTTCCTGGAACTCACTTGGTAGCCCAGGCTGGCCTCGAACTCACAGAGATCCTCCTGGCTCTGCCTCCCAAGTGCTGGGATTAAAGGCGTGCGCCACCACCGCCCGGCTTAAAATAGGTAACTTTAATTTAACTTAATTCTTTTTTTTAAGTCAGGGTCTCACTATGTAGCCATAGCCTTAGCAATTCTGGAACTCACTCTGTAGACCAGGCTGGCTTCAAACTCACAGAGCTCCACCTGCCTCTGCCTCCTGAATGCTGGGATTAAGTTGTACACCACCTACATTTTTTTTTTTTTATTTCCAGACAGGGTTTCTCTGTGCAGTTTTGGATCTTTCTCTATAGACCAGACTGGCCTCGAACTCACAGAGATTCTCCTGCCTCTGCCTCCCAAGTGCTGGGATTAAAGGTGTGCACCACCACCGCCTGGCCAAAATTTTTTTAAGATTTAAAAAAAAAAATAAGAATGGAACAGGTGGCCTCACCTGGAATTCTAGCACTGAGGAGGTGGAGGCAGCAGGGTCAGAGTTCGAGGCCAGCCTTAGCTGCACAATATCACATCAGAGGCTTGCACAAACTCCATGAGACAAGAAGGAGGCCAGCTGTGGGGAGCGAAGGAAGTCCTGAGTGAATGTGTAAGGAACAGATGAAGTCCTGAGCAAGTCTGTTGTTGGCATGGGCACGGCCATGCCGCAGACTAAAGTCTCAGACCCATAGCAGTGGCAAAGCCTTCCTCCGATGAGGCCCAGGGATGGCAAAGCCTTCCTCTGGTCCCGGTGCGAATGTTGGCAGGATATAATAAAAACTCGTAACTGCAAACCTCCTCAAGGATGTTTACAGGCTGGAACTGCCCTCCTACACAGACCTCCTGACCCCTCCCTCCCCCTCTGTACACAATAAACTCCTGGCAGGGAGCGAGTGGCCCACTGACCCCAGCTTCTGTGGATGTGTGTCTGTGTTTTCCCTCGCTGCCCAGTCAAGTTCCAGCCGTTCTGGACAGGTACCCAGCCACGTTCTCTGCCCAGGACACCTGCCTGCACTCACACCCTGCCACGTTCTCCGCCCGGGACACCTGCCCGCACTCACACCCAGCCACGTTCTCCTCCCGGGACACCTGCCTGCACTCACACCCAGCCACGTTCTCCTCCCGGGACACTTGTCCACACTCACACCCTGCCACGTTCTCTGCCCGGGACACCTGCCCGCACTTGCACCCAGCCACGTTCTAGTCCCAGGACGGTGCCACCATCCTATGTTCCAAAAATGGCATCCTACCTGTCCATTTATCAGTAGTGGACACAGGCTTAGAGAGGAGGGACACCTGCCTGTGGCCTCAGCTCCTTGGTGGCAGTCAGAGTTGGTGGCCTCTGGTGGAACCCCCATTTCTCACTAGGGTCAGTGAAGGACTGTGGCAGGTTGTCAGCTAAAGGAGAACGAGGAGCAGTCACAGCTGTGTCCAGGCCGGGGCTGGTGATTTCGGGGTGGCCATGATGGGGGCGGTGGTAACAAACTTAGGGCCCTCCTGTCTGCTTTTCCTTATTTTCTGGGTATCAACACCCACAGCACCCCAGCACTCCGAGGAGAGTGATGTTTAGAAGCGGTGTGCCAAGGTCTGGCCCTGAGGCTCTAACCCCATCTAGCAGGAGGCAAAGCCTCAACCCCCCACTGCCTCAGCCCCACCCCTTACCGAATTCCCTCTGCACACCCGCCTCTGGCACCAAGCAGCCGTCCTTTGGCACCCCGAGCTCACGTACACGTGCGGCGTGGGTGGCGCTGGAGGAGAGGGAACATGTTGCCTCCAGCTGCTGTCACTGCCTTGACCTGGGGTCACCGGAGGTCTCTCCTCATAGCAGTCACTTGCTGCAGTAAAACTGCTCTGTTCCAGCATGTGTTGAGGGTGAGGGGCGGGCGGATGTCACGGGTGTGTGTGCGCGCGTGCGTGTGTGCGCTGTGCAAGTCTCGTCTGGTGGGAACTGGCTTTGATGACTTTTGCCTCAGATCACTGGTTGTTATTGTGACACATTTCTCCCTGCCTCCCAGTACGTGACTCCCTCCATGCCTCTGTCTGGATACTGCAGCAGGGGAGGAGAGGTGAGCTTTACTTTGTTTTTTTCAACATCCTGATTTCCCCATTCTTCCCTGCCCCCCGGCACCACCGTGGCTTGGTGGGGCCCCATTGTGGTTTCAAACAGATGAGGGAGGGAGGCCCGGGGTCGGAGCTCCATCTGCTCCCAGCCATCTTTCCTACGTGTGCCTAGGGAGTGTGTTCTCTGCAAGGCCCGCCTCCCCAAGCGGGGGCCTGCCACGGAGCCAAGACCTCTCCTCCTACCCTGAGTCCCAGCCTTGCCCACCTGCTTTTCAGGTTTGGTCACATTTGTTCTCAATATGGTTTTGTTTCGTTTTTGAGACAGAGTCCCATGTAGCCCAGGCTGGCCTCTAACTCTCTACATAGCTGAGGATAACCTTGAACTTCTGATCCTTCTGCCTCTACCTCACAAGTGCTAGAATTAGAGGCATGTGCCACCACCTCTGGTTCATTTGCTGCTGGGGACTGAGCCCAGGACCTTTTTTAATTGCTAGTCAAGTGTTATACCAGCTAAGCCATATTCCTAGAGTTAAAAAAAATACATATTATTTATCTTTATGTATTTGGGTGTTGTGCATTATATACATGCAGTGCCTGAAGCGGCCAGGAGAGGGCGTCAGACCCCTGGACCTGGCGTCACAGACGGTTGGGAGCCACCCTGTGGAAGAGCAGCCCCTGCTCCCGACCGATGAGCCATCTTGCAACACCTTGTGTTTGTTTTCAGGACAGGGCCTTTTGTAGCCCAGGTGGTGTAAACCTTGACTCTCGCTCTTAACCCGCCAACTCCTCTTGGAGGCATGCTTGCACACGTGTGTGAGCCCAGGGGCCAGCCTCGGCTGCTGTTTCTCAAGTGCTACCTCATAACTTGGAACTGGGCTAGCCCATGGGAGCCTCCTGTCTCCATTTCCCTGAGCTGGGGCTACAGGCGGGTACAAGAGCACCTAGCTTTTTCATGCGGCTTCTGGGGCTTGAACTTGGTTCTTCATGCTTACCCAGCCAACACTTCACAGATTCCCCAGCCCTCGGCTCCCCTCCCATGTATTAAGGAGCAGTCTGGCAGCTCAGCCCCTGCCCTCCGCGGGCGCTTCAGACAACCACCTCTCAGTCCCCTGTGGTAGACAGGGCCCATCTGCAGACAGGCTCATTTGCTGTGGTGGGCTTCCAAGGGTGTTCCCATAATTAGGACCCGGAGGCTGTGGAGACACCGCTCCATCTCGTCAGGTGTTGTGATCTGAGGGAACCCTGTCCTGTCTCTAGTGACCCATGGGATGAGAGTCACCATGGCCCCTGCTCTCAGGTCTCCCACCCTTCCCTGTCATCAGTCTCCAGAGTCTGTCCAGGCCTGTCACCCTGTGCCATGCACCACTGTAGTCTATGCTACAGAGCTGACCTCACCAGCCATCCAGACTTGCTTTCCCTGTGTCTGGGTCGCAAGGTCATGATCCAGGTGAAAAGGAGAAAAAATGTCATATGGACGGGGCTCAGGGAGATGGAGGCTGGCTACAACACCTGAGAAAGTTCCAGGTCCTGCTGGAAGAAAGGGTGTGTGGGGGGGTGCCGAGGCTAGAGAATTTGTGACCCCCCCTCATCTGGTGCTCTTCTTCTTTTTCCCTTGAGGCAGAGTCTCGCACTGAACCTGGAGCTGGATCGACAGCCAGCAAACTCCAGCCATTCTCCTGTTTCCATCCCCTCCTGCTAGGGTTATTAGCACTTTAGTCACATCTAGGTTTGTTTTGTTTTAAATATGGGTGGTGGGGATTTGAACTCTGGTCCTCATGATTGTTAAGCAATCTGTCTTAACCACTGAGCCTTTTTTTTTTTTTTTTTAAGAAAGAAAACACAGAGTTTTGTTACAAGTCTTTTTCTGTTCTGCCAGTTCCCAAATAATAACACAGAGACTTCTTATTAATTACGAAAGCTTGGTCTATAGCTTAGGCTTGTTCCTAACTAGCTCTTATAGTTTAAATGAACCCATTTATATTAACCTACATTCTATCACATGGCGTTACCTCTCTTCCATCTTGTACCTCCTGTTTCCTCTTTGTGTCTCCTCGCTTTTCCTGCACGCCTAGATTCCTCCTCCTCTTCCTTCTCTCTCCAGAAATCCTGCCTGTATCTCCTGCCTAGCTATTGGCCATTCAGCTCTTTATTAAACCAATCAGAAGGTGCCCTAGCAAAGACACATCTTCACAGTGTTCAAATATTCTGCAACAGGGTTTCTCTGTGTAACCCTGGCTGGCCTGGAACTTGCTCTGTAGACCAGGCTGACCTCGAACTCACAGAAATCTGCCTGCCTCTGTGCTGGGATTGAAGGAGTGTGCCACCAGGCCCGGCTAAGAAAGTCAAGAAAGAGAGAGAGAGGGGGGAAGGGAGGGATGGAGGGAGGGAGGAGAGAGGAAGGAAGGAAGGACAGAAGGAAGGACAGAACGTCTTATATACAGCCCAGGACTGCCTAAACTCATTCACTAGTAGAATATGACCAAGATTTATTTATTTTTATTTTATGTATGTTTACTTGCATGTACATAAGTGTGCACCATGTGTATGCCTGGTGCCTTCAGAGGCCAGAGGGGGCATCAAATCCCCTGGAACTGGAATTAGAGATGCTTGTGACCCACTCTGTGGGTGCTGGGATCTGAACCTGAGTCCTCTCCAAGAGCACCAAGTGCTCTTCACTGATGAACCATCTCTCCAGGCCCTGACCTTGAACTCTTGATTGTAGTTATTTTTCCACCCTGTTTTAAGCAGAGCTGGGGATAAGCACTCCATCTGCTAAGCTCCATCTCCCCTCCTTAAGAATGTCCATGCCCTTGGCTGAAGTTCATTTCCTCCTGCGTTACCAGGCCCCTCCTACCCATCTGCCTCACTTCCCTCTCATGTACTTCACTCCAGCAAACAGATTTTGAACTCTGCTGTTCTGACCACAGGGCCTTTGCATATGCCGGGTACTTCCCAAGAAGGTTCTTCTCTGCCTGGCCAGCTTCTCCTCAATTAGACTCTAACACATGTCTCCACCTGACGACTGCCTCAGTCTCCCTGCAGCATTGGGGTGCTGGGTATTCCAGCCTCTACCGGGCTCTGCCTACTGCCTTCTTTCAGTAAACAGCGGGGAACAAGATGAGACCTCTGCAGCGGTTCACCGCACAAGCACTGGGGCCAGGCTGGACTGGCCAGTGGCCTGGCGCTGCTCGTCAGATGGACTGCAGCTGGAAGCTACAGTCCCCAGACTGAGTGATGGGGCCTGTCCTGGGGAAGGTCATGGCTCAGTCCCTGGGGTCATGTTTATCTAAGCGGTCGTCGATGGCTCCAGGGCGTTCACTGTCCCTGATTGATGGGGCTTGACTGCCTGGTTCATTTTAGAGAGCGGCTACAGTCCAAAAGGGGTCATGGAAACTGACTGACAGCCAGTGAGAGTTTTCTCCCTTGGTCATCATTTACGGTTGGCTTGTAAGCAGCCTTCCCGCCACGCATGCTCACCAAAGAGCAGGCTAGCATGCCTGAAGGAAGGGGAGGCTGAGCAGCGCCCTGTGCTTAGCTGGGCTGGTGAACGGAAGAATCCTGTGTTCAGTCCTGCAAGGATGATGCTTAGTCAGCTTTTGGGGTGGGAAGGGACAGAGACAGCACTGGATGGGGCCCCAAACTTGCATTCAGAGGGCAGGTGGGTCTCCTCAGAGAACACCTGTCACTCACCCAACCCTATCCTCTGAGTCCTCCTTTTTCTGCCTGGTGTCTAAGGGACAGAAGAGACAGCATGGGGAAGGTGGGAAGGACCATGCCCATTCAAGCCCCGTGGTATGTTAGGAAAGCCCCAGTCCAGCGGCGGCCTCCCTGTCAGGTGCTATGAACAGGGCTTGAGCCTCAGCCCCTTCTGGGTAAAAGCTCGGAGTCACTGTCGCCCTTGGCCCTGCAACATCTAGCCTGCTGGCCAGCAGGGGATTGGAGTGTCTGGCAGCCCCAGAAGGTCCCGGTGGGTTGGGCACCCCAGCACTAAGGCTACTGACTGTACCACTCTGCTCCCCAGGGCCCACCGCAACGACATGGAGACCATCTATCCCTTCCTCTTCCTGGGCTTCATCTACTCCTTCCTGGGACCCACACCTTTGATCGCCTGGATACATTTCCTTGTCGTCCTCACAGGCCGTGTGGTGCACACGGTAGCCTACCTGGGCAAGCTGAACCCGCGCATCCGCTCTGGAGCTTATGTCCTGGCCCAGTTTGCCTGTGTCTCCATGGCCCTGCAGATCATCTGGGAAGCGGCCCACCACCTGTGACCAGTGCCTGAAGCCTCTGCAACTACCACATTGTGGACAGAAGCCACAGAGGCTGAACCTGGGGACTTGGGGTCCCTTCGAGAATAGGGATGGGCTGAGGTCCTGGGATCCTGCCACCTAGGTGTGTTGGATACCTGGGCCCAATGTGCACGCACGTGTGTTTCTTAGTCTCTTGGGATCTGGATGAAGTGCCCAATTAGAACCACTTATAGATGAGTTGTCAAGATTGACAGAACATCCTTGACCTCACAAAAGCCTTAAACATCACCCACACTTCCTCTTGCCCCATAAAACTGAAAACAACCGGGAAGTGGTGGCACCTGCCTTTAATCCCAGCACTTGGGAGGTAGAGGCAGGTGGATCTCTGTGAGTTTGAGGCCAGCCTGGTCTACAGAGCCAGATCCAAGACAGCCAGAGCTGCTACACAGAGAAACCCCTGTCTCAAAACAAACAAACAATTGAAAGGACAGAGGATCCTCCAACATTGTCATCATTCCATCCAGGGCTCAAAGTGAAGGCTTCTCAAACCTACCCACAGTTCCGGGCCAGCCCACGGAGAGACCTGGCTGCTGTGTGTCCCAGGAAGTCCTCACAAGAGGCCAAGTGATAACCTGCTCCCTCTCAGGCTGTGGAGCTTGGGAACTTGCTGTTTTTCAGCAGTGGGCAGGTCTGCATGCCCCTGTTCCCTGTGGACACCCCCCTGTCCTTTGTTCCGAGTGCCTTAGGTAGGGCAGGCTTAGGAATGGTGGGTGCTCACGGTAAGCTCTGCCTGCCTGGTCAAGGCCTTAGCTTCTCCAAAAGGCCGTCCGTCAGGGATGGGCTTTGTCTGACCAACCACTGAAAGGATTTGGGCTTCTTCAGCATCTGTGAGGTTTGAAGATGCCAAATGTCCACCCCTGTGGAAAACCTCATGTGTGTGGTGATCCTCCAGAGTCCTAAGACCTGTTCAGGGTTAGTCATTAAACAGCAATGTGTGACCTGTGAATGCCCTGTGTTCCCTATTTCCAATGTCCCAGCTGACCTGGTGCCTGCTGGGAATTTTTGGGGTTTGGGTGTCTGTATGTTTTGCTTTCTTGAGACTGGGTCTCACTTAGCCCAAGTTGGCCTCAGATTTGCTATGTAGCCGAGGACAACCTTGACCTAACAGCCTGCCCGTACCTCCTAAGTGCTGGGATTTTAGATCTGCACCGCCACAGTGGGTTCGTTCCTGGGGCCAAGCCAGCACAGGCCACCTGTTTGTGGAAATCACACGCCCCCCGTCAGGCTGCTCCAGGGAAGTCCCCTTCTTCACAAGGGGATGATCCCTGACATTGTGGTGTTTGGTTGGGATCTAGAGATGTCCAAATCCTGTCCTGCCGGGTGGTCTTCCCTGCAGCTCTGTCACCAGGGAGGATGCTGTGTTCCTGCTCTGTGTGTGGAGACACAGGAGTGACCACCTGGAAGCTCGGGGCTGCCCCAGCAGGGCCTGCACCCCTCTATGTTGAGATCTGCCCTGTGAGGGAGGCCTTATTGGAAAGCCCAGCCAGCCTAGGCTTCCGCCTGCCCTTCAGAGCCGCAGTGCACGGTGAGTGGATAGCACTGCCCTCTGGTGGTGAGACGAAACCTTTGCTGCTGGAACGCTCGCTCGTCGGAGGAAAACAAAAACCATAGAGTGCCAGCTGTTGAGCATTAGGCTGGAGGTACCTTCATCTGTCGTCCCCCCCCCTCACCGCCCCAATTAATACTTAAAGTAATTTTAAGAAGGAGGAATTTCTGCATTTTAGACAGGCGGTATGGCCAAAGACGTCATTTCTGCCTTTTCATTTTACGTATATGGGTGTTTTGTATGAAGACATGTCTGTATCATATGTGTGCCTGGTGCCCATGGAGGCCAGAAGAGGGTGTTGGATCCCCTGGAACTGGAGTTACAGTTATGAGCCACTCTGTGGGTGCTGGGAATTGAACCTGGGTTCTCTGAAGAATAGCTAGTGCTCTTAACCACTAAGCCATCTCTCCAGATCCATTTCAGCATTTAGCTGAGGGACTCAAGGGTCCAAGAGAGGACTTGCTCTGAATTCCTGGCTAGGACAGGAGAGAACTCCGCACGGTAGGGCCCAGGAGGGATGGGGGCCAGAGGCCTAAGCAGGGCAGAGGAACATCTGTCCGTTTCTGTGTTTTCCCTCTTGAAGAAGGGCTTGTGAGGGCCAGGTGTTCTAGTAAGAACCTGTCAGTTGTCTGGTGCAGGGACGTGTTTCACACACAACGACTGCATGATCTGGGACCTGGGTGATGGAGCTGCCCCTCCGAGGGGGCCTGGGTGAGGGAGTTGGCCCTCTGAGGGGGCCTGGGTAATGGAGCGGACCATCTGAGGGGCCTGGGTGATGGAACGGACCCTCTGAAGGGGCCTGGGTGATGGAGCGGACCCTCTGAGGGGCCTGGGTGATGGAGGCCCTGTGAGGAGGCCTGGGTAATGGAGCGGACCATCTGAGGGGCCTGGGTGATGGAGGCCCTCTGAGGGGGCCTGGGTAATGGAGCTGACCATCTGAGGGGCCTGGGTGATAGAGCGGACCCTCTGAGGGGGCCTGGGTAATGGAGCGGACCTCTGAGGGGCCTGGGTGATAGAGCGGACCCTCTGAGGGGG